CTCATTGGCTGGTTTTATCACGTGACAGTTTTGAACCGACGCTTTGAGACTGTTGTGGAGCGAACGGAAATACTCATTCTTATCTCGTCGATTTGACTGTGGTGATCAGCGAAATTTTGTGTCAAGATGGTATGAAAATCGTCAAATATCATAACCAGGAATAACCATCCGCTTCGTAGATTTGTTTGGTGTGTTTAAAAACTGTTTTTTACGCCTTATTCAGGTGTATTAGGAATTTACTGATTCGAATTTCTGATTCTTCTGTTTCAGCCTGGTGGTAAAGCTGGTAAGGATTCCGGAAAGGCGAAGGCCAAAGCCGTCTCTCGATCTGCTCGCGCTGGGCTTCAGGTAATGCATTTGTAATTTTCTTAACCACACGAACTAAAAAAAAATTATAGTAAGAATTTTTGTGCATGTATGATGAAGCATTTTTTCTGAGTCGATTCTCTGTCTAATTGTGTTGTGTTCCAATTTCCAGTTTCCTGTCGGTCGTATCCACCGTCACTTGAAGACTAGAACCACAAGCCATGGTCGCGTCGGTGCTACTGCTGCTGTGTACAGTGCAGCCATCCTCGAATACTTGACAGCTGAGGTGAGTTTGCAGTTTTTTCTTTTGTGGAATGTGTATTTTTGCCGATGATTTAGGCAAAGTTTGCATGGAAACTCAGATTGTGTACATGACATAACTATGCCGGCGTCTCCCGCCAAAATGCTCCCCCCTCCCTTCCCCTCCCCAGATTTGCACAACAGCTGATTGATCGATGAATTTTATGTTTAAAGGTTTAGTGTTAACTAATGATGTAGATTTGTTGAGGTACTCTGGTTGAGATGATGGATTGGTCTATGGGAAATGTTTGACATGATGCAGACCTTGCATCAGCTGGTCTCTACTTAGTCTTCTTAGTCATAGTATGGGCTATGGGGCAGACCAAGCTATGCTATTCTATTCATTCAATGTCATTGTTCCTTGTGTCAGAACACTGACAATGCTATAATTAATACAGTGACAGTATAACTAGATCTAGACTTAATACATGATCTAGATATATTAGATCTAGTAGGCCTAGATCTAGATCTAGTCTAGGCCTATTTGGATTGCATGAGAAATTTTGCTCAGTATTTAAAGACTTGACATGTTCAAATTAATTAAATGTGTAGATAGATGTAGGTCAAGATTTGAGCACAGGCTGTGCACAGTACAGTTCTTTTGTAGTGATTGTAGTCATAACTAGTGCCCTGATGTTTCTTCTAGGGTGTGTAGTAGTAGTGGTGGAATGCTGAATAAGGATCAACAATCAACTGGAACTAAGACTAACTTGTAAGAGTCCAGGCTATTGTGCGTAGGCCTAGATTAGTTTTTTGTACTTAATTTTTGTTTGGAGAGGTCTAAAATTAGGCTACATGAAGTTACATCGAGCACTTAGCACACCTCCGTGATTGGCCCAAATATGGGTGACATATTTCTGCCATCTATTTTTGTCGTCTTCTGGGGCTTCCCTCGCCAGTTTAATAGATTTCACTGTGGCGGGCCCACTTTGCCGCTCAGCGTGCGATGGGCTACGTAACTAGGTTTCATCGCTGACTGCTTGGGCTGTGTGTGTGTGTGTACAACTTTGAGGAGAGAGAGGGTAAATTTATGGAACGAGAATTGCTGAGATTGTTTATAAAAGATAACACAAATTAATAACCCCCCCCCCCCCCCCCCAATTAAAAAAAAAAACATGCGTTGAGATCTTGTCTACAGTTACTGGTGAGTTGTGGTGAAGAAAACCCAAGTCTTGGGGGGGGAAACCCCCGAAAACGACAAAAATAGATTGCGGAAATATGTCATCTATATTTGGGCCAATCACAGAGGTGTGCCAGGTGCTTGCTGTAGTTGTAGCTTCTTGTCTAAAATTTACTTACACTTAACACTATACCGATGAGTGCTGATCAGCATTGCTCTTGGCAGACAAAGGGTGGGGGGTGTCAGTATTGTTCTGTTGCTTTTCCTTTTCCTTCGAGTTTGTCTTGGACCTCAGGCCCAGGAATCAGTTACTATGACAGTAAACGAGTCACAGTAATAATGCTCATTCATGTGTTTTGTGTAGACTTACGCTGAACTAATGAATGACTAATGAATTGTCTTTAAATAAGTCGAGTCATGGTTACTTATGCGTAGGTATTTGTATTGGTTGGTGGGCTATGTTGTACTTAGATCCGTTGCTTGTTGTAAACTGTAAACTGTCTACTTGAGTTTCAGGCATTACGTTGTAATTTTTTTCTCTTGAAATGTCATCTTCCCGCCTTGCTTCCAATATCAGGGCTGCCCATCATTACGAATTGAGCGGAATCGTTACAATTTTTATGAAAATGTAAAAAAATACGATTGTAATACCCTGATCGTTTTAAAAAATTCGTTGTCTTGTAAGAGGAGAAAACGACCAGCTACCAGACCCACGCATTCTATGATGTGACTGTCACATGCAACTAACTTTAACACCCTCTTTGCATTGAGCCCTTGTACTCACTCAGTGCCACTTTCTTGTTTGCCATCAAGAAAAAACATTAGACTTACGTAGAAGTGCCGAAACCGGGAGTAAGGTAAACATTAGGTTGACAATGTGTTAGAAATTTTCTGCTCTTGTGTCTTGGCCATAGAATTTTAAAAAAAGTATAATTGTTTGAAACTTGATACAATTAGCAAGGGTGTGGTGGGTGCGTGGCATGGTGCGAACCGTCAGGATCACAGACTTGACATTTTCTTGTATCAAAGGTTGCAAGCAGCAACTACCCTACCCTTCTTTCCTTTCTTTTTTTTTCTGAACTCGGCAATGATGAGCCTGGTTATACTAGACCTCATTTTCGTCACGATTTTGTTTAGGTTACACATATATAATTTTTACTACAACCCCTGACCTTGACACCCCATCAGGGAAGAAGACTCCATGGCCGTATTAGTAGGAATTTTTTAGCCAGATGGCTAATTTTTATTTGATTACTGAAACATGCTGGTGGATGGGCAGCCCTTCAATGTTGGAAACTCGGATTTGGGCGATTTCAAACGTCGGTGCTCTCTCAGGCAAATAATGGCCCAGAAGTTTCTGCAACAAATTTCCTAAAGTGTCGTCAGTTTTTGAGGTGGTGGTGGTGATTGACCCCTATTTGTTGAGCATGGTTGGACAACTTATGCCGTTTCCTTATTGGCCACGTTTTCTTCGTTCTTTCCGCTTGAGGTTTCTTTTGAGCGTGCCCTCTTCTTAGCTCCTGCTCATGGCTAGTGGAAGAGCAAGGGACGATGGTGTTGGAGTCGCTGGTGTGTGCGGTGGTGAGGATGGCTGTGGTTGTGCCCGGGTGTCAGGGAGTGGTGGTGGTGGTGTAGGAACGGGCAGAGACAGTGTGATTTGAGGAGGAGGATTTAGAATATTGAAAACTTTATGAATAGCACCCGTTACCAGCCCTGGCCGTTTTGTCGCTGTTTTGCTATAAAACTTAAAAAATGTCCTGAGTACAAGTAATTGTATTTGCCGAGATGGCTGCTGGTTTAAAAAAAAAAACCCAAAAACCCTCAACAGTGTTTGTATCCTTGCAATTTTGCACTAGATTTTAGGATGCGGTAGTGGCAGAGCAGGTAGTGAACTCAGGTCCACAAATGAGTGGTATGGCAACCTGGGTGATGGCTGGGCCTGGGGTGTACTAGGAGCAAGACAACTCACTCTCTAAAAACGAGCCTTTCGAGCCCCTCAAGGGCTTGCATGTAATAGGTCTGACGGTGGGGTATATTGTCTACAATATAACTATAACCGATCATTTCAGATGCATAGAATTTTTGTACCGTACGGAGTGCCTGACCCCCTAATTGATATTCATGTGTTCTGTGTTGACTTTTTTTTTAGTTGTTGACAATTTCGTTTTCAAAAAGCCCAATATGGTAGAAATTTTTTTTTTTCCTTTCATAATTTTTGCAATACACCACAGGGGTTACGAAACAATCCCACTGCTGCAGACAAGCCTTTTTCAATACACCTAGGCTAGTGAACTTGGTTTAGGAAGATACATTTTTTTTTGCTGGGTAGTTTTTCTGTGACTCATCTGTTAGGGAAATGTCTATTAGTTTTCAGGTTTATTTTCAAATAAAATCTTTCAAAAATGATTTTTTTGCAATTTATGTATTTGGGGTTAGCGTACACAGTGCAGCGTCTCTATAACCACCTTTGATATAAATATCATGACATCCTATGTGTAGCGACATAGTGCCCAGGTCCCAATTTTTTTCTTTCTCAAGTATATTTTTGGTTGCCTCTCTATGACATCTCATTATAACATATTTCTGGTCCCGACGATGTGGTTATAGAGAGGCTACACTGTATTTTGAAATGGGATATTGATGGCTTGTAGGCTGTTTGTTGTGCTTGAACCATGTGACTTATGTGTACCATTTGTGTTTCAGGTGTTGGAGTTGGCAGGCAATGCCAGTAAGGACTTGAAGGTAAAGCGTATCACGCCTCGTCATTTACAGCTGGCCATCAGAGGAGATGAGGAATTGGACTCTCTCATCAAGGCTACCATTGCCGGCGGAGGTGAGGGGGCAGTTTCAGTTACAGCTGTTTTGTTTTTCGTTCTGTTGTTTGTTGTGCTTATGGGTGGTTGGAGGGAAATGTTGCTAGGTCATACTTTTCTTTCCATCTTACTTTTTTCTTTACTCTAAGTAACTGTTATTGTGTCAATATAATGTTTTCCTTTACCAATGCATATTATGTTTGGAACAAAGCGACAAGTTTGTGTGTGTGGGTAGTGACAGAAAATACTTCCATGTCTGCATTTACATTACCTGCCGAACAAGCATAGAGGCGAAAGATAAGTGTATATAACTGACAAAACCTTTGACTAACCCTTAACCACCGGACAGAGACCCGCTTACCTTCCTAGTTTTATATAAATCTAGAGGGGAATTCCTGAATTCAAGACTGCATTTTCTGAGGTCCCAAGCGAAGTAATTTATTTCCAGATTATTTGAGCCATGTGATAAAAATGTTCATTCCGAAATTGCCTGTCTAGTGCACTATGAACAAATAACAAAAGTTGATTCATGGATGTAGAGGATGTTGATGCTTGGGTTTTTTGGTTATTCTCCCTTGAGTGTTTCATCTACTTGTTTGTTGTCCAAATTGCCGAGTGCTTGATTCCACCTTGTTGTGACAAATACTTTTTTCCCCTCTGTCTGGACTGTAGGGAACTGCTGCTTTTTCTTTCCTCATCCTTTCTATTGTCATTTTCCTCTACTTTTGTATGCTTGTCATTTTCTTGGGAACTGTTATTTCCGGGGTGCCTTGATAGTCGAAGCAGACTTTGTACTGTTGAGGCTAGAGAGGTGAGCAGAGTAAGCCTGATTCCCTGTTTGGACTTCTCTGTTGACATCCACCCCTTGGGGCTCATATGACCTTATGCAGTTGCCAGCGCTGTAAAACCTAAGTGCCAGTGGACTGTAGTGTAGGGACATCCTGTAGTGTGGTTGTGTGACACATGGTTTCTGTTACATGTTTCTGTACCTGACAGAAATTATTTTGTCTCTGCTGACTTTGGTTTCAGATAACAATAACATTTTCTACTTTTAACTGGGTGGTTGGCGGGTGCTCTGGTGTGGTTTGCAGCTTCTTCTTTCCTATTAAACATCTATTGTCCTTATCTCCCTTCCTTCTTTTTTGTGTTTGTTACTCTCTTGTAACACCTCTAATCTTCGGCACTTTTTGACCTTATTACTTATTGTGTTGCAGTTGCAGGTGCCGTAAAACTCTTACGAAACTTAACTACTTTTCATTGTCTAATAATCCTACTATTAGTACAGATTTGAGCATTAAACTAAAATTAAATCCATCTTAGTTTCACAGTTGTTTTAGAAGGCAGGTCATTGGTTGCTCCTTGTTTCCTATCAAACGTCTGTCGTCCTTATCTCTTTTTTTTTTGGTGTATGTTACTCTCTTGTAACACATCTAATCTTCTGGCGCTCATATGACCATATGCAGTTGCGAGCGCCGTAAAAGCTACTAAAACTAAACTGATTTAGAAAGGAAACTTTGATCTAGTCAACATAGTTAAGTATTTTCAAAGTGTCTCTTTTATTTAAAAAAAATTAGTTTCACACAATTTTTATGTAAGTTATAGTTATAATTTATGTAAGTCTATTTTTTGTTTGTTGTTTTTTTTGTCTTGTCAACCAGCGTACAGATGACATCAATGACTTGAATATTTGTGCTTGTATTCTTATCACCGGTTGATTTTGTGAAAATCACTTCTCTTTTGTCGTGCAGTTTATTGTATAAGCTGTCTATTCGTACATGACTTGTCTCATGTTTTTGATAATATGAAATATGCAATAAAAATGTTATTTGGCGTGTCAAAGACAGCTTAAAAAAACCAAAATTGTTTTGAGAAGTTGGCTTCGACAGCCTTTTTATATTGCTTGCAATAGAAGTGAAATTAGGGTAGACACATTTGTTTTACTGAACTTGTTGGTTTAGTGGCCACAGAGATGGCCAACTTGCTGACTATTTTATTTGGAAAAGATGCAAAATAACCTAACAGTGTTGATAGGGGGCTCTAAGCCTATACCATTTATCCCAGCAGACTAGAATACAGATACTCGGAAACATTGTCTTCCCGGGAAGCATTCAGTGCATGCATGCAACACAAAACAAAATCTTTTGCTGTCTATAGCTGGGTGCCCATTATTTTCACATGGGTGTGAAGTGAGGAAAATCAGTGTTGAGTGCCTTTCCAAAAGACACATTGTCGAGCCCCTGACAGGATTTGAACCATTGGCCTTTCGGTTGTCAGCCTAACAACTAGACCACAGCTGCAACAATTACCCCCCTCCGTTGCAAAAGTGCTGTAAATTGTATTTTGGTACATGCAGTTGTATGCATACTCCTTGAAGTTGTAGTCTAACCTCAAACTTTCATTTCTGTGGGAGGGGTTTGGGGAGTGGAGTGTAATTTGTAATGGTTATAAAATGGAGATGTCTGTAGTGTCAAAAGTGTCAGTCTCGGCTAACTGGCGGGCTTTCATACTCAGGTCTAGACTGTTGCACATGGTCAGGTTCTCCTGCCACAGCTTTGTGTTGTATAAGTGTGCAGTGTGGAGACTCGTGCTGTATCTTAGTTTTGTAATTTCTGGTACATGATGTTAACTTTTTCGTTTGTTTCTTGTTCGTTTCAGGTGTCATTCCCCATATTCACAAGTCCCTGATAGGCAAGAAAGGCTCACAGAAAGCAGCATAAATACCAATATTCATGTGTTCAGGATCATTTTATTTGTGTCGTGCTGTTTATTGTAAACCACTGTCTTGTAACGTTTTCGGATGTCAGTTTCTGTAGATTTTTAATTCCTTTTATATTATCATCGAAGCATGGACCATTTTTAACTTTTGTCATGTGCGTTTTATTTTCATTATGCTTCATTAAGTATGCCGTTGTATCATACAGCGAGTCTGGATATAAATTTTGGAGTAAATTTCACCCGGAAGGTTGGGAGATATGTACAATGTAAGCGTTTTAGGTGGCCTTGGAGCAGTCTACGTACTTCCATCGCGCTATCATCAGCTGAAGCGACTGCTTGTGTGGTGGGAGAGTGTGGAGGTGTCACCCATGTCATGAGAGATAGAAAATATGATGGAATGTCATGTCATTGAGAACCAAAATAAATTCCCATTCCAATTTTGGAATTTTTAAATAATCCCCAGCAATTGTATTCATTTTGATTTTGTTGAATGTTGTGAATTTTAAAAAAGTCTTTCTGCTTTGAAAGTTTTTTTTTCTCTCTGCTGTCTTGTCTTAGGGTGGTTTGCGGGTGCTCTGGTGTGGTTTGCTTCGTCTTTCCAATCGAACATCTATCATCCTTATCCCCTTCTTCTTTTTTATGTTTATTACTCTCTTGTAACACCTAATCTTCTGGCACTCATATGACCTTATGCAGTTGCGAGGGCCATAAAACCTCAACTAAAAATAAAACTGTCTTGTCTTACTTTTTCCCTGCACTAAAAAGTTGCTTGTGTGTGCATCTCTTTACCTCAAACTCATTCCAAGAGTATTTCTTTGCAACTGTAAGACAGTCACAAACATGTGTGGGTCGATCAGTGTTTATTCAGTAAGCCTACTGAACTAATGGTATAAAACTATTATCCTGTAGTTTTGGACCATGAGGCTAACTGCCTTTGTATTTTTTCAACACTGTAGGACATTTTCAGTTGTCTCAAGCTTCAGTGAGGCTACCGGTATTCTGCTTGTTGCTTTTATTTTTCTGGATCTTATAGCTCTAGGCTCAACAGAGGAAGTCTGAGCAGGTTGTTGAGGAGCATACTTTTTCCTTCTTTCTTTTGGCGGGTGCTCTGGTGTGGTTTGCTCCTTTTCCTCTCTCAACCATCTATCGTCCTTATAATCTCTCCTTTTTTGTGTTTTTTACCCTCTTGCAACACCTCTAGTCTTTGGCACTTCTATAACCGTTGCAAGTGCCATAAAACTCTTACTAAAACTTTTAGTAAAACTTCTTATCCATTGTCTATCTTGTCTATTCTCTGCACTAAACAACTGTTAGATCTACATGTATTGACCTTAGTTTGAAGAAGGAAATTAGAATTTTGCCTGGTCATAGGCCTACTTAACTTTGACTTTCAATTTTGAGAGACCCGTTTATGGGAGTCAAGGTTTGAGTGTTTTCAGTCTGTGGCCTGCACATAGAACCTCTTTGAATTAAAAACTTTGTCTTTGCTTAAAAAAAAGACTTGCCCTTGGATAAGGGGTGCAGTGTGAAGAACCCGGAGAACTTTTTCAGTCACCTCCATGTCCCGCTCACTGGAAATTTGACACATTTCCAGTATTGTCAGCAGGTCCCCTTCAAAATGTTGGACCCGGTTTTAGACATGCTACGGTACTCCCAAGCCTACTGGTCTTTGATGAATTTACTCGAAAAAAATGTACCGAAGTCGGTTGGTGGGTGGACTAGTCAGGAACCCAGCACCAGATACACATAGTTTCCAGACGTGTAGATTTTTCAGTGTTTCAACACGTTTGAATGATGCTGTAGTGTATTCTCAGCAAACTTCCAACCGGTTGTCAACAGCGGTAAATCTAGTGAAAGTGAAAGTTTTCTCTCAATATGGATTGATGGACACCCATAAGCAGTGGCAACAGTGAAGACAGTTTTGCCGCAAGTCTTTAAGTGAGACAATCTACTCTAGTATTCTTGCTTTGACAAGCCAGTTCAGTTCCCATTGATCAGTGGTTCTTGATTTGGGTTTATTAATTTAATTGAACCCAGGGGTTCGATGAATCCATCTCAAGGGTTTGGCAAAGGTAAACAGGCACCTAGTGTTCTTGGATGAAAAGATGTGTTGGAGGACCCATCTGAGCAAATTTTGTGCTAAAGATCCCTTGGTGGTGGTCTTAAAATCAATGAATACGAATAGATAGGTGTCGCCCATACTGTACTCACATTTAAAAAATAATTCCTACCAAAACGGAAAAATACTCCTGATATTGTCATTATTTTAGAAAATGAAGAGTATTTCAGAATTGAAATGTGGTTGCCTTTGATTTCTTCGAAGTTGACCTCGGGGGGGAAAAACGACCTATGTAAAAAACAGAAACCAGTTAGATCTACGCACTGTAGGTTGAAGAACCGGCAGTCAACTACTTGAGGTCTTGCAGGGGCGTGTAAACTCTGTAAAGATAATTTCATAATTTTAGAGAAGAGTGCTGTACTACAGCACATCATGTAGTGTAACAAAAAAGCTATAACTATAAGTAAAAGTAAAACGCTTCATAAACGCATGAGCTCATGGATGTATTTTGAAAGCCAGGCATCACACCTCACCATGAGAGCCTTGGTGTAGATTATAGGTTTATTTTTTAGCAGCTGTCATGCACTACAGTGGAACTCTGATTCAACGAGGTCGCCGGGCCTGACCTAAAATCTCGTTAAATCCGAGTCCGAGTGTTCGTTATAGCAAACACGAGGTTTTTATGTATAATTACTGGCACTGAGCAAGTAATGTATAAAGAAGAAGTCACAAGTTGTGCCTGAGATGCCTGCGTATTATTATTATGAGCCGCAAAAAAAAAAAAGACCGATTCGTTCAAATGCACACGTCTGTGTAAAATCGATTGTTTACTAAAAACTTGTGTTGCTGTGTAGAGCCGAACTTTTGATTCCATAGACCAGCGCACAATTCATTACGTAGATCTACGTCAAGACTAGCTTATCATTGTAATATTGATCAGTTGCCGAGGGGAAAAAAGACTGTGACGCGTTTGTATCTGCGACGTTCAACGCCCGGACCGCAAGTACCCCCCCCCCCCCCCCCAAAACCAACCCCGACACACGCCAGAGTAGACTAGTGCGCGTGCCAACAATGCATGTGTTGGTTTGAAAAAAGGCCGCTGACTGGTCGCATGCAATCGACAAGTGAATAAGGGTTCACGATGCAGGAGCAATGGATCGTTTCCTGGAATAGATAAAGTTAGTTTTGGGAGAAAAATGAGCAAAGCCACGTCCGCGCGGGCTGTTCATCCTGGAAGCGACCTCGTTGAATCCGAGCTTGCTGATTTAAGTGCTCGTTGAATACGGGTTATTTTTATTGATTTTAATGAAGAAAAAAACCCGGGAAATCCATCACATCTCGTTGAATCCGAGTTCCACTGTACTCACTTGGTTTACAAAAAATTGCACAATTGGCACAGGATGAAGAATTTATCACATGAGGAGTCGACTGTAATAACGAATTTGATACTCAGTGCTACTGCTACCACAAGCTGACGAAACGCCTTTTTTTTCCTTCACAGCAGTTTTGGGAAAAAGTTTTTGTCAGAGTAATCATTGAAAAATAGAGTTCTTCTGAAATTTGAATTCTAATTTATTCAGAAACTAGTCAGCTTCACTGATTTTTTTCCACGTGTAGTTTGTAGGGTAACAGACCAGACTTTCGATTTAACAAAAATAAAAAGTTTTGGCAGCAAAATGGAAAAAAAAGGCATTTTGTTAGTAATGTTACCTTACACTTACAGTGCAGAGTGATGATTTCATGAATATGATGTATGTAGGCAGGCCTAATATTTAAACAAGTACAGATTGGAGATTTACAACAGATGGTGGATGTGACCTTATGACCAGACACTGATTAAGCTCAAAGTACTCAAAGAAAGAAGAAACTAAACTCTAAACCATGACCTTAATAATAATAATAAATAGCATTTGTATAGCGCATATCCCCGCCCAACAGCAGGCTCTATGCGCTTTACACTATATTATTACCCCGGCAGACCATAGAACACTCCGAAACATTCTCAGCTTCCCGGGAAGCATACAGTGCAAGCAGCTGATTAAGTGCTCAAACTCTAACAAACTGACAAGATCTTTCGCTGTCTATAGCCGGTTACCCATTCCCACCTGGGTGAAGCGAGGAAAATTTGTGTAAAGTGCCTTTCCCAAGGACACAACGTCGGGTCCCTAACGGGATTCGAACCCACGACCATACGGTTGCGAGTCCAAGAGCCTAACCACTACGACCACCTTGATTTTTATGTTGAATGTTCTTGACTCCTCTATGTCAAAATAGGCGGAGGGTAATACTTTGTATTTAAATTTTGAGGAATTTATTCTCATTCTCAGTGGAACCCACATCTGCTCAATTTCTTATAGTTGAATCACTCAGCATGTCGAAGAGTGAAGACAAAAACAATAAATAAATAAATGGAGACAAAAGCTACAGAATGCCAAACACAAGGTACCTTTCAAATAATTTATTTTTCTTTTAATAATAATATTACATGCCTTCGATGAAATCCCCCGTCTGAACGAGATCTGGAAGCAGATCTCAGGCATTTAATAATAATAATAATAATAAACACATGTAATAATAATAGAGCATTTGCATATAGCGCAAATCCCCGCTCAGCAAGAAGCTCTATGTGCTTCACAATCTATACTAGTAGTAGGTGGTTGGCGGGTGCTCTGGTGTGGTTTTCTCCTTCTTTCCTCAAACTCAAACATCTATCGTCTTTATCTCTCCTCCTTTTTTGTTTGTTACTCTCTTGTAACACCACTAATTGTTGGCACTTTTATGACCTTATTGTGTTGCAAGTGCTGTTAAACTCTTTTTACCATACTAAAACTAAACAATCTATATTATTACCCCAGCAGACCTGAGAGCATTCTGAAACAATCTCAACTTCCTGAGAGGCATACAGTGCAAGCAGCCATTTATAGGCGCTAAAACACTAAACTAAACATACTGACAAGATCTTTCCCTGTCTATGGCCGGATACCCATTCCCACCAGGGTGAAGTGGGGAAAATTCGCATTAAGTGCCTTTCCCAAGGACACAACTTCGGGCCCACGGCTTGAACTCCCGAACCCGCAACTTCATGATTTCGAGTCCGATAGCCTAACCACTAGGTCACCAACGCCACCGTTTGGGGGACACAGCTGGCTGGAGGTAGAGAAGATCTTCCAGAACAGAGGCAGGAGGAGAGCCCTTCATGCAAGCCTATACCCAGGTGGCTGATCATAATTATATGCAAATCAGGAAAAAAAAATGTCAAGCCTATTACTATTTTAAAACATATTTTAAAAATTACATTAAAGCAGGCTCTTTTTAATTTTAAAATGTACAACTACAATTAGGCTCTTCACTAAAGCCAAAATATGATAACCTACTAAAATCTAGTACACACAAAGTCAAATTAAAATCATAGGGACTCAGAAATCTTTTCATTGCGTACGCATTTTAATTTAAATACAAAGAATACATTGCATAATATTTATCAGTTATTAGAAAAACTTGGGACTTGAAATTCGCTATGTGCATCCTTGACAGTACTACACTTTCATACTAATACTAGTACTGAGTAACAGTGGTCTCTGGGTAAGTTAATAGGATGCATAAAACTTCAATCCATAGCACCCTACTACTATCCTTGTACTTATATGTGAGGCAGCGTGGTGGAATCAGGCTCTCGTCAAAATAATCAAAGTGAAGAAACTTGCATTTTTCCGCAGGTTTGTGAATTTTAATCAAATTTTTGTTTTTTAGCTCAACACCTTTCATGCTCATTTAAGAACTCATTTCTGTGTGGATTTTTCTGAAAAACGTTGATAAAAGACACAAAAAATGTACATTTTCAGTTACCTCGGACTCTTATACTAAGGAAATAACTAATCTTTGGCGGCCATTTTCTCACTAATTTCACCTCTGAAAACAGGTGACCCCCATCTCCTTCATTCGCAAATATTTCGACTTGCATTTAAAATAAATGGATATTTTTTTCATCCAAGTAAAGACAAGTGCACAAGCTTTAAGATGATACCAATCAATAACTCTACATGCCCAAATATTGACGAGAGCCTGATTCCACCACGCTGCCTCACATATATATATATATTTATATATGTGTAATTACAGTCTATTAAAAAAAGATTACAGAATTATATCCAACACTGAAAGCAGTAGTAATACTAAATATATAAAGAGACAATTTTTCTCAGAAGTCTTTTGTCATTACAAAAACTGAGTTAGAACAGAATCTCTTCTCCTTGAAACGGATGTGTAACTTGATTCATGACATACATATTTATAAGTACTAAAACGAAAACAAAGACATCTTTTCTCCTTGCAACTGATGTGACTTGATTCATGACATGTATAAAGTCAAACAAAAACATACGTTTTTATGCTGGTCAATACGGGCGAGCTAGTCCATGAAAAAAGTAAATGATATCTATATTTCTTGTCTCAACACCCCTCCCCCCCCCCCAAAAATAAAAATTATTACAGAAATAATAAAATAAATTTAAATAACACAAAAACATTCCCAACTTACGCAGAAGGGTACAAATCATTAAAAAGTTACACTGAATAGTAGGCACATTGCCTCATTTTCGAAAAAAAGAAAAAAAAAAAAGAAGAAAAACTCTTGGTACAAACAATACTGTTTTCTTTAACAAACAAAATTCCATGCATAATATTAATAATAAAGTGAGTGCTATACTTTCAACAACATTTATACTTTTCTTAGAATGTGACTACCACTACTGCAACTACCACTACTACCACTACCAGTATCCAATTCATTGGTCCTTCAATACAAAAATACAATGTAAGCATAATATTTAGCAGGATTTCCCATACATTTTAAAAATGCACCATAAGCATAAAATAACACCATTCACATTTTAATTACAGTCGAACCTGCTCTTACAGCCACCTGTCCAAGATAATCACCTGTCCAAGACAATCATTAACTGTACAAGACAATCACCTGTCCAAACTGCCACTTCCAACTTACTTCCCTCCTTCACTGCATTTTTTTTTTAGAACATTATAACGATAACGACTCTTGCCCAAGACATCCACCTGTCTAAGACAACCACTACTTTTCTTCCTGACAATGGGTGGCCATCTCGCACAATTTCGACTGTATTTAAAATGACGATAAGTAAGTAACCTATTACAGTTCTTTCAAATGCACATTAGGGTCTACATACCCCAAAAGGTTCAAAGGAAGAAGTTACATTGTTAATAAAATACAATCGGTCCCCTTTCTCATTGTGCCACTCACTAAAAAGCATGGAAACTAAAACATCGCTGGATATTGCTTGATTTTTCCACTGCTTTACCCGTCCATATAAATCATCAATCTTTGAACTTGGACCAATCAGTAAAGCTAACAAACGAAAAATGATATGTCATTATAACTCTGTTCTGTTCGTTCAATCATCGACCCCTTCACGTACGATGAATGAACCAGTGCATATATATATACGCTCGTATATCAACACATCAAGTATGAGTCACTTTCAGAATACACGCTGAATAACAGCACTGAACAGATGGCAGTCTTCGATGCAACGACTTGACAATAAATAAATAAACAACTTGTTCCGGAAGCACACAAATGTTCGTGTAAATATCTACACGTCAAGTACACACACTGACCGTTACAATCGGACATTGTGGTGTATAAAAAGCATATTGCCTTCTTCTCTTAAACTGGAGTGGATCTGTACTTCTTAACACCTTGCAGTCACACAGCCAGCAGTACAAAATACCCCACCTGGTCACCCAGCCAGCAGTACAAAATACCCCACCTGGTCACCCAGCCAGAAGAGTGACGGCAACGGACTTCTCCTTTCTGCGCCAGGTGATCGGAATGAATCATTTTCACTGTCGCATTATTGTGCAAAGTGACGGGGAAGTGTTAAATGTATTGCTTGTGTGATAACTATCTACCTGAGTACTACAATCATATCTTTGCAACTTTGGTGGTTTTTCTAGATCTGAAAAACATTGCAAAGAAAGAAAAGCTTTAAAGATAGACAGAGAGGCAAAACCACTAAACAATGCATAATCCATCGTCATAAGGGATAAAAAGGGTATATGCAGTTGCATCGTTCATGGCAACCAAAATAAAATATAAAAACAAAAAAACGAACATGGCATGCTTTACTTTCAAAACTTGCTGGAAAAAAGAATGGTAATAGAAATATTACAGAGCAAAGAAAGTAAAATTGCAAGAAGACATTTCATATGTAAACAATTATATGAAACAAATTCTACAACACATTGTAAAATGAATGAACAAATAAGAAACTGACGGTAGTGATATTCAGATCTTCAATATCACAACGCACAATAATTCAGCAGCAACTTTTATAAAACGATTAAAAAAAAACAACCACAAAAAAACCCACGAAAAACCAGGCCCCAAGCTGCAGTCAGTGTCATCTGTAAGAGGAGGGTGGCCTGACCTTGGAGCGCGGCGCCGTGACAAAACTGACCAGTAGGAGTACGGACACGATGACCAGCGCCACCACGTAGATGTAGAGCAGCGTGTAGCGCGCGGGGAGCCACAGGACCGTGTACCTCAGACGCCCCGACCGCTCTGGGGAAGATAACACACACACACACGTGTTGGTGAAACACACAAGTAGGGTGCTGATTTACAGACCAGTGATCTACTGATTAGGCTTTAACACTCTCAACTGTAGGGTCATGGATTTGAATCCTATACTATAAGGGGTTGTGACCTTGGGAAAGGCACTTTTGATAATGAAGTTTCCTCTCTTCATCCATATGGGAATGGATTTCAATTCATCTCCTTTTTGATACAAAATGTTAGAGCAACTTTAATGGATACAAATACAAAAATGATGTCATGTCAATTATACTAAAAGTAGGTACCAGAAACTAAATTTTCAAACTAGCTGTATGCCAAATTTATCTGTTCCATTTGAAAGGCCTATATCCACTGAGCATTTTGGTACCATTCTTTAACCTCTCCGTCAATTTTAAAGAAAATTGTAGTTGTTTAAAGTTTGATCAAATTTGTTGAAGTCAGTCACAGGCTGCAACCCCATGTTTGACAGACAATAAAAGAGTACCAAGTGCACTAAACATCTCCACATTAACAGAGTACAATCACTATAACAAATATATGGAGCCTAATTTTTTTCAAGACTGTAAGATCTTTACAAATCAGTATTTTATCGCCTCAAACACGATGATCTGTCGTTATTTCGACAAAAACACAGTGTTGACCCCGCCGGCGCCGCACCGGCCCACGCGGCGAGCGAGTCAGCTCTATACTGTAGTGTACCCGGCGTGCCGGGTCACATGCTTTCCGAGTCTCGCGGAAGGATTGATGAAAAATAATTCCAAGTTAATAACTTTATTCTAATAGAAAATGAACTGATCTTTAAATTGATACCTGTTATAAGTCGGTATTATACATATTTTGTGTAAAAAGGGATCTTTAAACATTTTGACGGTATTTTTAAAAGCTTTCTATAAAGACGCCAAAGGCTAAACTTATATCACGGGAAAGCCCGTTTAAAGCTCTACAGTTCTCCGCCAATGAAAAGACGGTATTTAATCATCCCTCGTTCCACGAAGCATTGGAATGCACTCGTGTCAATTTTTCAACCGGCCGACCTCGCATTCCGACCGCGAGGGGCTTCACTTTCGTCGGCGATTCTCCAGCTCCTAATAATCGGACATATAAACAACTTACACCATTGCAACGAGGAAAAGCTGAACTTTTAAAAGGTGTACGGCATTTGGTGTTTTATAGTGAAAGAGCAAAGAAACAGCGATCAGAATTACCCCGATTTTACCGATACCACGCGGTCGGAAGGTCGCGAGGTCGTGTTTACGCTACCTACTAAAAGACAGCGCTGAATAAAGTCCAGACTTTCATCAACTTTCATCAACAGATGTATGAGGGGTATCCTAAGGATTAAGTGGCAGGATAGAATAAGAAATGAAGAGCTATGGGAAAGGACAGGACAAAAGGATATAGAAGTAGAAATAGGACTAAGAAAGTGGATGGGAAACACCTTCAGAAAGCCCAGCGGAAACATCACAAGACAGTCACTGCAATGGAACCCACAGGGAGCACGATGCAGGGGTAGGCCACGGGAAACATGGAGGAGATGTGTGGAAAGGGACATGAGAGAGATGAAGCTCACTTGGAACGAGCTAGGAAGGTTGGCCCAGGATAGAGAGAAATGGAAGGAGCTTGTATGCGGCCTATATCCTGCCAGGGGTTAAAGGCATTGATGATGATGAGGAATTATACTAACTTTGAATCGTATCATGACCCACTCACCTATGTGAGCCACTCCGTAGCCCATGTTCGGCTCCCCCATGCGGTAACTGCACGTGGGAACCAGTATCTCGTTCACACCGATCAGGTTGGTCAAGTCCACCTCGATGAAGTCCTTGATGTTCTTGAGTCCCCTCAGGTTGTACGGCCAGTGGTCTATGTCCTCGTTCTCCGACAGACACGTCCCGCACTCAAACATCTCCGACTGGACAACACAGGAGCAGCAGGATGAACAAAACAAAGACGAGAATTTTTACAATATCAACTTGTTTTGTTCCTTTTTTAAAGTAAAAGTTTTATCATTTTATTTTCATGGCACTTGCAGCACAATTTGGTTTAATAAGTGCCAAAGATTAGAGGTGTTACAAGAGAGTAATGTACACAAAAAAAAGGAGGAGAAAATGTTTTTACGACATCGATATCATGCTAATAAACACATAGTTGACGTTACACAGATATCAATTCTATAACATGCATTAATCAAACTTTTCTACAGTCCAGAAATAAAGTGTAATTGGCACAATATAAATATGTTCAATGTACCAAGAAAAAGTAGACCACATACCACATGCCAGTGACCGGTGAAGAGAATGTTAGGTTGAGCCATTCTCAGTATCTGATGACAAAAAAGAGAAAAGAATCATCTGGTTGAATTATAGAAAGAGTGAGCCACATTGTTCAATACACCAAAGTACTTTTTACAAATCCACAATCTTCTTCTTCTCCTCATTCATAGATAACAACACCAGACATCATCACAGAATCAACGATCTATCAAGGAACTTCCTGATTGCAAAAGAGCTTCACCCAACTTGAGGTAGTATTGGCTCTGACCCATATGATTATAGCTATGATCACTCTTGATCTGTCTTGCACTGGGTCCCCACCAATTTCAGACATTCTGAACCCAACAAGGCTGTCTCCTTCATTAACACTTTGCCTCCACGGGACGTCGATCAGCAACGGTAAGAAGCCTTCTCTTTTCTCCATGTGACGCTGATCAGCGCTGGTGTGATATAGCATGTACCGCACCTATATCCTGGTCCGTGGGGATAAGTGTTGCGCGCTCTAGGGCGGAAAGTGTTCATCAACCGCTCATTTGAGTACAATCCAAACTCTGCTCCCTCCTCCTCTTAATTGTACCACCACCCCTGCTTTCCACAATGTTTAGCCTCTGCAAAAAAAGGGATGCCTAAATAGGCCTACACAAATTACACATATGCCCCGTTATATTGCCAGCCATCCGCCTGAGTTAAGTCATATTCCCTTTCTAAACAATGTAAATTTTTTTAGCAACACTGCCAGTGAATTGGCAGCTACAGGTACACACTATACACAGCACAAAGCACCCACTTGGCAGCTACGCAGTGGCAGTGATAATCTCCTTTTCTTCCTCTTCTATGCTATGTGATTATATCACATAGCACAGGAAAACCTGAAGACCATCTCAGTTTTGGTCAAAGGGAAATAACTCATCATAATACTGCTCTTCATCTAGTCGTCGCAGGATCATTTCCCTTGACGTTCAATAGTTGGTGCAACTCACCCGAGATGAAGCTAGTTGTGTCGTCTCTAAGCGTATTGTATATTTTTCTTCAAAAAAACTTTAAGAGTACACAACAGACTGTAAGAAACTTGAGTGATGTCTTGGCAAAAGTTACTCACATTCCAGGGTTTCAAATACCTGAGAATGTTTCAGAATATTACAGGGTCTATTTGGGGGAAGTAATAAATCAAAAAGGGTATAGAGCTTACTTTCAGATAAGGATAGGCACACTACGTATAACATTTATTTTTACTCTTATTATCAAAACAAGTGGGGTCTGAAGTTCTTCCATCCTTGCTGGGAAAGTTCCCCTCAGCATCACGTCAGGATAGGGCTCCAAGTACCCAAAACTGAGAACAACCAAGTTACGTGTGACATTTCCTTCCATAAAATTGAGACCACTAAATCCCTTTTGACTTTTGATCTTTTCCTTTATTAAACAAACTAAAGCATATCGGTGTTAGTAGCATACTGGTTTGGCTGTTCTCTGTTGCATGAAAAATAGATGAGTTCTATTCACACATTAGGATGTCCATGTTATTAAAATTAAAGATCTCCATCTTTCTGATGAGACACTGGATCCCACTGCTCAGCCCAAGGTGGACGGACAGGTAAAGTCATAACATCCAGCCTCCTAAAATATCTAAATCATGCTGATCAGGGAGGAAAATATTTACAATATATATAACAATCATTCAAAACAATACCATATATGTCAGGCGTGCTGAAAAAAATGAGTTACTTCTTGCAATTTATGAATGGAGATATTGGTCAAAATCTGACACAAGGGTCATATTCATAGATTCTAAACCAACATCATTCTCTTCAAGTTTAACTTGCCTATGATTATTTCATACTAATAAATTGTAAAAACTCAACCTATAAATCTAACACATCTATTTCCATCAGGCTGAAATCTGATCAGTAACTTATTTTGTCAGCACACCTCACATATAAACAGATTGTTGCTTACAGGGTATATTGTTCCTTTCATCTTGGACATGACTGTCTCGTGGTTTATGATGATGCGCAGCGGTTCTTTCAGTTTCGGTGCCAGATTTGATATCAACCTCTTTGTCTCCAAGACTTTGTCCACGTTCAAGCGAATGTCCAGCTGAAAAGACAAAAGAATAACTTGAGTTCATTGTGGTAAAAAGCAACTTCTGAACTGTCCTACCAGGTGAAAGAAAATAAAACTAGCAAGAAATCAAACTGGCTGTTCCCTTTCCATGTTTCAGAAAATTAATATTTCTGTCCAAAGTACCTTTGACATGACAACAAAAACTCGGAAATCTTTTTTTGACCCTAAAGAAAACACCTTGTAAGGTTGAACACAGATGAGAGCATGAGTAAGATAAAATTGATAGCCCCTAATGACATCAGACTTTTCCATAATGTAGAGACTGGGAGGAACAACTAAAAAATTGTGACATACAAAGAGACACCAAATCATATACACATTATATATATATGTATACATTTTCCCAACCACAAAACTTTGAAACAGTAACAGGGTAAATAGAAAAACTTCTCCGTAATTTGGTAATACTGACTGACACTGCAATGTTTAGCCGCTGAGAAACTGGTACAGAAAATACTGTCACAACTTCTCATGCACATTCTCACCTTCATAAAGTCAATAAATCCGTGTTTGACCACTCCGGTGAGATTCTCAAAGTGCTTCTCAAACCGGTCCACTTTGAAGGGAGTTCTGAAATCTCGTCCCTCTCCACCGATGTCGTTGTCTCCTGGGATGATCACAGTCTGTGTAGAGGAAAAAAAAGAAAGAAAAGAATTTACCACTCGATTCTAAAGATTGTAACGATCAAAAACGTTTATCATCTCCATCAACGCATCCCTGGCTGATCACAGGAGATGGAGATACTCGATAAAATTACTTTTCCACTTGGGAACCAACTCTCATGTTTTCTGAATGCAATGGCAAAGAGCCTGACCAATGCACCACAGATGCTGGTACCACAAGATCAGTACATTACAAGAACAGTAACTTATAACAGTTACTAAAACTCGTTATTTGTCTGTATAAAAACATGATTCACATTGAAGGCTGCTGACTTCTCAACCAAAGTCTTTATAAAGTCAATCAAAAGTGTGCAAAGCATCAGTCATTGTCCTAGAAGAAAAAATTTTGGGTTACATTTAACTTTCTAATCTTTCCAGTACTGTCCCCCTCAAATTTAAAACAGCTTTTGAAACCAGTTTTTGTCAGACCAAGAAGTTTCAAGAACTAAATCTGAACAGTAACCCAACCAAATTCACCTTCCACATAACCAATTATGAAGTAAAACATCTTTTCTGGTAACAGTTTAGCTGCTTATGTTTGCAAACGCTGACAAAAGGTTCCTTTGGGCCGCCTGTTAGATTTTTACATCGCCTGTGCTCTGGTCCAAGGATTTAAAGTCTTTGGGAAAAACAGTGTACTGTGAATGTATTAATTTCATCAGAACTGAAAAGAAAAAGATTCAGTAGTTCAAAGTCTACGACATACTTTTGTAATTTTTGTCTCAGGAAATATACTGTGGAACCTCTGCAGGTACGACTGATACTCCGCCTCCGTGGCCTTGCTGCCCTCATCCATGATGTCTCCCAGGAACACGATCACGTCGGGCTGAGTGTGGGCATACGCTCGAGAAAATGTCTTCTGCAGATATCTGAGGACGTCAAGAAATCAAGAATTGAGCAGGACTAAAATCTCCTTGGTACACACAACAAAATCTTTTCAGCACGGTATAAGATAACAAGATAAAATAATATATTTTATATATTGATCCTTCATTGAAGAGAATATACTGTGAGCTTTTACCTGCTTATTCAGCACAAAATATACAAACTATCGTTACAGTCACCATCGCTGCAACGCAAGACAGTGAAGCGGAGGTCCATGATCACCCACGCCAGTCGGCAAGGCACCAGATAATGATGATAATGATGATCATTTACAGGCATCCAGCAAACAAATCACTTTCTCTATCTCTGTCTGTCTGTCTGTCCCCCTTTATCTGTGTCACTCACCCCCCCCCCCCTGTGACCCACACACTCACTTTCTCCCTCACCATGAACAAGTACCACACCTCTCACCTGTCAGAATCCCATCTGGCGATACTCCCAATAGGGAAGCCCAGTTCGTCTTGAACTCCAATAAGCTGCGGATCTGATGCAAACAGCACAACCATTTCCTCAGTGGGGGCTCTGAAAAATAAGGTCGGGTGATACAAAGAGCAACGATACGCTGCACAGAGGGTATACCTACGGGGGGTTAGACAAGAGAGAAGATGTTTTCTATTATCTATTTGTGGTGGCCAAATTTTGCTATTCAAAAGGCTTTTTAATGGCTGCATCGATCGACATGCGATTTTCGCCAAAAGATTCTTTAAAATATTCTCCAGATCATGACGCCCTTCATTTTTTCAGTTTTGAGACAGTTTTGCTACAAAAAGCTATATTTCTTTATTTCGCCAATCGTTTTTGTAGGCCGACGCTTCTGTCTCTATAATTTTAGAAAATCCGCCAGGTTTGTTTATTTCAAGTCGTACTTCCGTTCGATATTATCGCGCATTGTCACGCAATACTGAGAACTATTTTAAGTGTGTGACCTGTATAGATTTAGCCTCATGTTTTCTTGGGAGGCTTTGTGCACAAACCCACACCTTTGAAACTTTGCAGGCGTCCTCAGCATCCATGTGGCTAGGACCTAACTTTAAAAAATCCACGCAAGCTGCCTTTCCCAGATTTTTCCAAAATGCTTTGTTTCGTCCACACATAATCTTGGGAACGTCCGTCTTCTAAGACGCCATTGTAAACAAGTGAGGTTTCCGTTCACTATCCGAGTGCACTGGTTTCACACCTTTGAAATTCTGGAGTGTACAACCACGAAGGCGGAATAGAGAATCAATCTATAGATCTATTAGATCAATTTGGCAACTTGGAAACACGTGTGTCACTTTTCTCTCAAGATTTATTGCTCCATTCCAGTAAAGTGTAAAATTAAAGTTGTAGGCCAATGACTTTCAGTTGATGTTAATGCACCCATCATTCCTTTCATCGAAAGGGGGTCCAGCTAGAGTAAATGTCAAAGTTTTTGGTTCCATTCCAGGTTATCAAAGGCATAGAGTTAATTTTTGAATTGTATTTGGTTCATCTGAAAAATGGACAAAAAAATAATGCATTGAACATCTGTTATTTTGAAAAATTGGCAATTGTAGTATGGCATTATTAGCTTTCATGAAAAAAATAGAAAATTCAAAGCCAACTACGTATAAGTAGTGGGAAAAAGCCCACTTCCTTAGAAGTTCAAAGGAGTGAACTCAAGATTAATCTGACAAAAGCATAAGGAGAGGTGCATAAAATCACTTGCTGTCTCAGCATTTCACAATTTATACATAATTAATAAAATTTGTCGGTTTGAAAGTAACACATTATCAGTGCACAGTTCAATAAAATTATGACATCCATTACCTGTCTTTTGAAATACGAGTCCATCTAAAAGTTTGGAAGCTGTACACTAAGAACTCATTGAAAGCCACAACGATGATCACCAAAGCAAAAGCAACTTTTTGTATTGAAAGGTTTCGAAAGCGGCGCTGCATAATGAGTAAAGACACCATTCCTGTGGATCACAGACAAAATCAAGGATAAGACTTTTATAGCAGACTCAAAACAGTTTTTCATTTTTAAACATGGTAGCAAATGAACATAATATTTTCTAGAAAGTTTTGGAGGTACCGTAAGAATATGGTCCAAAATATAAAAAAATTATGCAGGAATGAAAGAACTTAACACTTTCCCTGAAAATAAACCTAATCAGCTCATGGCCATGCACCTAAATCCCCCCCCCCCCCCCCCCCCCCTCAAAATTCCGAACTTCCGTCTCCGGCCTATGATACCAACCTAAAATAGTTCACAATCAAAACCAGAACTGAGTACAGTGGATCAACAGGTCTGGTACAGCCAGCATTCTGCTCTGCTCCGTCATACCGGCGGCTGACTGACATTAACTAGACTATAGAACTAGATCTAGCACTTCACTAGAGTAGGACTAGTACTGTAGAGTATAAATCCGTAACTCCAACCCTCTTATAATGCCTGCTGGCTGGGAAAACGACTCTTTCATATATCAACATCAGTCGAGAGGATTATCTGAACAATACATTAGGCATCAAAGATTATAGCACAAGTTATACATCACTAAAGTTACGTATACTAAAGACTAAAGTGAAAACTGAGCCTGTTACTTGCTTGTGGCGACCATTTGTAAACAGTCAACCTAAACTTTTGTACTCCTTCACTAGAAGAACTACTCGTGTTAGGTATATATCGTGTTTTTTCCCGACACATCAGATAGTCTTTTAATTACATGGGTATAACAAATAAACGTTGTGCTCCAACCACTTCCGAAAAGTATCTTTCCTTATCAAAATTGATAAAACAAAGTCATGACAAAGAAGAGGTCTAAATATTGGTATTAAAATAAAACACAACAACAAGAGGGGGATATTACAATTACAATGAAATGATTGTATTATTTTTCGCCCCAGAGCATTTGCCAGTTTGGGTTGACAACAATCCTGTTTGATTGAGAGTGTATGGCGTCCACAATAGACTTTGTCTTTTATTAACGTAAGCACACCTACCCTACATGTACGTGTTTCCCCCAAGGAATAACACTCGTAAACTACCCACAACTCCCTCCCTAACAAACCAACAACAACAAACAACCAAACCCACCCAACCAGAACTATGATACATACGGTCCCTGAAATGGTGCTGAATGTTACAGAAATTGCAATTATTTGTTGTCAAATATACTCTGCAGTCTTAGATAAAGACATAAGCTAGCCTATATTATTTGTCATTAATGTACGTGAATAATTATGTAATGTAATTCTTTTGATAGACAGGGGCAATGAGCACAACCATTCTGACCTCACTGAGCTTCTACGTACACGTATTAAATGAGCCTTAGGTGTAGATCTGTACTTTAAACATTGTGCAAACATGATTTTCAGGAATGGATCCCTAAAACTGTGTTTGTGATTTGTCAAGGACGAAAAGAATGTTATAATTCCCGTTATGGAGTTCGTCTGTAATGTCGGAGATTTTTTTTCTCACAACACAAAAGGCACCGCGTACCTGGCCAGGTCCTGAAGGGTGACGAAAGGAAAGGTCGACGAGTTGAATTTGTACCAGTTTGTACAGACAGACACTGTACGGAGCAATAATGGCGACTTTGGTCAAGAACTTGAGGTCACTTTGCACAATCGCAAACGTGGGGAGGACAACGGTTCCTCGGCTAGGAGCTGTCAGTGTTTTGCGCCATGTAAATGAACGCCACCAGAGCCCAGTACAGAATGTCCTCGTCAGCGGTGCCTCTTTGCAACCGGTAAGCATGACATTCATTAGCAAACTCCATGATATTGATGCGCCGTTGCCTCACACTGCTGCAGCAAAGGCAAAAAAGTAAAGTAAAGAAAAGTTCGTTGTAGTCGCTAGTCACTGCATCGAGACTCGAGGTTTTATTGACTGACCCTGTAGATAAATAATCCCCTTTTTAGAAAGGGTAACCCAAGGGTTACATTTACTGGATGCTTTATCATCCTCAGCATTTCAAGGGAAGTGTACATGCTCGGCTCTATGGCGGAAAACACACAGGCAATGCTGGCATCTAGAATCTACTTCAAATGGCCTATTTTCTTTTGGCAAAAAATATTTATTACACCAATTAATGAGTGGACATGAGAAAAAAAATGGAAAAATGAAAATAATGGCCTTGAGATCTAATGCTTCTTGTTAGTCCTTTTGTATTTGTCCAGGTGAAGAAGTCTGGTGATCCCTTATTTATGATTAGACCAACATTACACATCGTTGCTCTTGGAAAAGACGTCGCTGGGGCTGCTCTTTTCCATAAATCTCACACTGAAGTCATCCTCCTTGAGCATTTTAACCTTAACCTACTAACACACCTTGAGAAATAAAGAACTTAGTTGAGAAAAACAGTCCATTATTTGTAATAAATATTATGATCTGATTTGTTAAATTTATTTCAATCGGAACTAACAATTTTAGCCGTTTACTAACCATGGCAGAATATGTCCACCCTTGCCTCTTTTGGCCTCTATTTTTTCAGTAAGTAGTAGATGTTCTAGGCTTTTTGAAAATGTCAATTGAATGTATCACACCTACATTTGTCTCTTTCTTATTGTATTTGTATTTAGTGAGTCCCTTGTAGGCCTTCTTTCTCGCATTCTGCACAACCTTATTTGATTTCTTTTCCTCATAACATGAAACAGCAGTCTCCTAAAGAAACATCTTTCTTTTGTGTCTAGACTACTCTTTGTTCACTATCTTGAGTAACTGACAACTTATATTCATGGCATAGCCATTCAGAAGACTTGACCACTATATTGCATGTTTCCACAATTGATTTTGACTGTCTTGTCTTCTTGTTCATTAAATTAAATTTAAAATATTAAAAAAACTAACTAAGATTCATTGGAAGCTAATTTAAGTAGATCGAGGCCTATCTAATTCTATTCTGAACATCGCAACACAATGATCTTTGAAATGCATTCCCCCCCTTCCTCCCCCTTTCGGATTACGCGGCCGCCATTTTCTTGCCTTCGCGGCGATTTCGTGTCGTGCTTACGAAAAAATTAGATTTAGGCCATTATCTCACATCATGGAGCAATTTAAAGATTTATTTACGCTGAAAATGAAACTAGCATGGATAATGACTTACATTTCGTGATATTTGGGTTGAAAATCGCATTTAAGACTTAGATTTAGCCTCATTTTGTTGTTCACGGGTCTTGTTTGTTCGACCTGCGCAAAGTCCGACCGATGCACGACAGACGTGAAAAATGCGGGTTTTCAAACTTAATTTAACAATAAATGTTAGAAAATGAATAAAAACGATGAAACTATGGCCTAGAACTGTTAAAAACTTCATTTTGGACAATTACTGCGAGATCGTTGTGCCGTGATCGCAAATTCCAGTTTGTTCACCCGGTGGAATACGAGCGACGGAAACCCGAATGATCGTGAATGAATAGCCGTAAATCTTTTAAAATCTATTTTTCTTCCTTTTTAAAATACAAATTATCGCTGTTATGATTAAAACATTGTCAAAACATGTTTAGTGGCAACTAAAACAAAAAATATGCTAAAAGTAACAAATTTAGAATTAAGTGGAAAAACGACATACCATGCCGACAATGCAAGCAATTAGGATTTAAAAAAATATTTTTTAGAAAATCGTGATTAATTTCATGTTTTTAATGCCAAATCATACTATTATCATTCTAGAACAAATTCTTAGCAAAATTACCATTAAAAATTATGAAAAAAATAAATTAGACTTACCCTTCTCTCCATGTGTTCTGTTGTCAAGTAAACATTGTCTGTCGTCATTCCATGGGTCCAGGAACTTCACAAAACCACAACTTTCACAAAAAGTAAAAACTCACAAAAATGTTGCTGTCCCAGCTTCTCGAAACTTCACTCTACGATATCAACTAAAGATACACACACACAGTTATACCATTTCTGAGAAAAATTGTTTAGAATACAGAAAGTGCCATTTTGCCCTCTGCTGTGTTTTCCGCCCTATGCAAAGTGCATCACTTGCTTTTCTATTAAAAAAAATTTCTTAGTATTCTGCTATTGATACTGTGTTGTGTGTCAAGTGACCTGAGTTGTTGGTCTGTGAAAGGAAATATGTAGAATTAGATCTAGATCTATAGCCTATGTACGGCATACCGTCATGTACGTCAGACCGTCAGTTGGCACGCATTCGGCCAAAATTAGACAACCAGACAATTATATGATAACCTGGAATGATGTCTGCTATACAATTCCGTTCAATATTGTTTTGTTTTCAAGTTCAACAATTTTGAGCAGAATCAGACACCTGTGTGAGCAGAAATAATCCATTTCATCTCCAAAGGTAAGAACCTCGTTCAGCCATTACGGCTTGCAGATGTGCAATGTGTCATGGGAAATAAGCTATTGGTTCTGTAATCGTACCCTCAGGATTCGTTTAGCATTTTTATTCAGTTTATAAGGTGTCTAGTTACCGCCACAAACCATTCGCTGCTCTTTCTTGTGACAATTGACGACGGTAGCGGGGGTGACGGTATGGGGTACAATTTGTTAGGGATGTACCCCATACCGTCACCCCGCATTTTTTGCATGGTGCGTGACTTGAAAAATAGTTATTTCTTGACGGACTATGGATGGCATCTTAGTACTTTAGATTTTTTAGTTTCTATGATTTGATATAGATCTAGATCTAGATAGATCTATTTAGACACGGATTCATTAGAAAATGAGCGACTTTAGATTTTTCTTTTTTTATGTTTGAAACAAATTTATATGAAGGAAACTCTATCCCGTTGTATGTAATGATGATGATGATGTTCCTCTGTCCAATGTATACACATGTTGTGATGATGTTCTTCCAGCCACTGTTTCCACATGTTGTGATATTGTTCCTGCTCCTTGCTTCTGTTTCAGAAGAAGAACTTGCTGGCATTCCCCCAACTGCCCTTGTTTCTCGTTGTGAGTAGTCAGTTGATGCCCTAAACTTTTTGACCGCAGGTCTGGAGTTCTCGGGGTCGAACGTACCTCCGAGGACTTCCTGGATCTTGCAGCAGAGTTTTAGCTACCTTTGGTTTCAACACCAGCTCGGGATCCTGTGGACAACCAGGACTATGTCTATTGTCTACCTGAGCAGGCATTGAGACCATTGGAAGATGAAACTCTGGTGACACCCCAAGCCCCCCAAAAACTGCCTCAGGACAACACTTTTGCTTTGTCCTTGACAAGCTAATTGATCACGCCATTGCCACTGGATGGATGGCATCAGACATGCATTGGGTCCACCGTTGCCATTGTCACAAAATCGAACCTAAGGAGAACGAGGGGGCATACAGAAAGTACCTTGATTTGTACAATCAACTCACTCCTGCCCCCTCGTTCGTCAACCTGCCCGTACCAGCAAGCTGGAACTCTATGGTTTCAACACAGAGAAGCGAGCTCAGGCCCCTAAGTATATCTTAATTAGGGGCAAAGTACAAAGCATGGGACACAGCGGTTATGGAGCGCCCATTTAGTTTCGGCTGGCGCGAGGCAAGCAAGCCCGCACTTCCCCAGGTCACGGGGTCATTTACCTGCGCCGCCGGGGATTTCCCTAATCAGCCGAACACCGGCAGCGCTCTTGTATTTTTTGCAAAGTTTACCAGCACAGTGAGCCAAAGCTAATGTAAGATGAATATTTTAATAAAGACCACGTAAATATTCAACATATTAAGGAAGAAAATGAAGAAATCGGAAGAACATGGTATATTACACTCAAAAGCTGTGAAGTTCTCAAAAAGGAGACTTAATTTGATAAATTTAATGTGTCATGGGTAATCAATTATAAACATCAATTTAAATGTGATTGCCCCCAACGAATTCAATCAAATTTACACACAGGACTGAGAACATAATGAAATTTGTACTCACAAAGGGGGGTATGCAAGAACTTTCTGGATCCGTAATTATTCAGGTTTGAAGTTGATTTTTGCAATACTCTTGCTTTGCGACCTTGTTTTTTCATAGCGATATCCACGATACATGTAACTACAGAACAGATGTTTTCTTGCCGATACACTTATGAAAACACAACCTAAACACAAAATACAAAAAGAACACAATATTGCTGGACTGGAGGAATTATTTCATTTTTCCGCTGTAAGCTTTCGTCTTTTGATTGGTGGTGCACACGACAGAGTAGCTTAGGGTGGGTTTGGACGTCTTGTGACTGCATGATTGTTTTGACGTGTTTTTCTTTGTCTGTTATTGCTACTACTCATTTTTCCAGCTTGGCCTCGGTTGCATGAATTAGCTCACCCCCTTGCTCACCATGGAAGGCCATTCCAAACCCACATTTTTGTATCCAAGGAACGCAGTGTTTCTCAAGGATGTGTTGGTTGGGGATGACCTTTTCTTTTGATTGATTTTGATTGAGTTCACATGTTTTACAGCACTATCGACTCAAGACCTTTTATTTGCCAAATATGTTTCTGTATAAAGACATATATCGTGTGATGCATGACTGAATATGTGGTATTCTCTCTAAAGTGATTGGCTTTCCATGTGCAATTACTGTGTGGATATCTTTGAAGGTGTCTTTTACGTGAACAAATTTCTCTCTCAGAACAATTAATGCGGTGTCTATTATGCTTTGATTTCGTGTACATGCAACTGTTCTTTTTGTTAAAAATGATGCTAGCTGTCTGTACACATGGGCTGTGATGTATTTATGGCAGTGGTTTCCTATAAATGAACGGCTGTGGTAGGCCTGTGGTGTGATGTTGTGTTGTTTGAGGATGTTATCAAATTCAGAGCAGGCAGGACTTGACCTTGGAATAAGCTCCTCAAACTCTAAAAAACAGCTGATCATGTACACTAGAACCCTCCCTCTCAAATCTCTCTGCTTCTCGTGGATTATCCGACAAAACCTGACAGCCCTGAATGTCCTCGTTTTTTTCCAGCCCTCTTTCATTTTTTGCTGTAGATATGCACATTTTGTCCTATTCCAGGCGGGCAATTCTCCATAGACTGATGGACCAGCTGTACATCTATATCATGTGCCAGCTGTACATCTATATCATGTGCCAGCTGTACATCTATATCATGTGCGGCCTCCTCAAGAAGGCGATGATGTTTGAGCACAATGCCCACCATATGATCATGTTGAGTGTGGCACTCCATGACAAATATATTGTTAAAAATGACAACGAAAATCAGATGTAGTAGAGGCAAGAAAAGTAAAAACAGCAAGGATGAATGTTCAGAGTGGTGGGTTGGTTTTTTTAAAAATCACAGAAAATCATAGAATAACTTAGTGCACTTGAAACTTGCACATGTAAATGAAAATTGTCATCACAGTTGATACATGAATTTCTGTTTAAATCGTTGGGGGCCGGATTGAAATATTTAAATCCAAACTGGAAAAGTTCTGAACATTGAAGATGCCAGTTTGAAAATCACAGACTTACTTAAATCCCTTGTAAAACTGATATAATCAGACTTACAAGAAAACAAGTTATACCGGCTTACAGGTCAAACATAGCACGTTATAATGAAATCTCAATCGGCCTTGTAGCATTTATAGTTTCAAAGTTAGGAGGCTTTCAATTCGCACTAAAACGCCATATTTACTACTGCCCCAGCACAGGAGGAGTGTCGCTGCGGTCACCCCAATTAACCCCTCTGACAAGTGATTTATGACTGCGCGCTGGGCTGTCGGGCGGGGGAGGGGGGGGGGCAGGGTGGTGAGGATGGTTGGGAGAAACCGTGGAAGAAAAACTAAGTGAGCGGTCTAGACACAGTATCTTATCCGCTGTGGGGAGGAGGCGAAGAAATTGGAGGAAGAGAAGAAAAAAGGAAGAAGTGGAAAAGAGGAAGAGAGAAAGGGAGAGAAAAGGGTGGAGAAGGAAGAAGAGAAAAGAGGAGAAAAAGTAACGAAGTTGGAGAAGCAGAGAGCAGGGAAGAAGAAGAAGAAACGATAGGGAAATTCATGTATGTGTGCGAGTAAGATGTTCATGTGAGTTTGTTGTGATACATAGAGTAAAATGAAGCATTCAAGTACTTGTGTGTGAGTAAAAGATGTTAATAATAATAATAATAAATGACATTTATATAGCGCTCAACCCCTAATAAAGTACACAGGCTCTGAGCGCTTTACAATACAGTACAACATACAACAGTAACATGAAACGTTGTGTTCTGACTAAAGAAAATTATTCCAAATATTCATCTTATTAATTTAAAAACAGAAACGACTTCAGCTGACATTTGAATGAATCGAAAAATTTGATATCTCTCAACGTACTTGGTAAAGCATTCCAGATCTTGGGGCCTTGGTATTCAATGGTAAAATAGATTTCTTTTTGTCAGCTGATGACCTTAAACTGCGAGTTGGAATGTACAGTCTTAACAGATTTGATAAATATGATGGTGCATTATCATTCAAACATTCGTGACATATGGTGGCCAACTTGTACACAATCCTTTTCTCAACAGGAAGCCAATGCAAAGTTCGTAAAAGAGGTTTAGCAGAGTCTCGCTTTATTTTCCGTAAAACTAAACGTGCTGCATTGTTTTGGACAGTTTGAAGTCTTTTAACTTTCTCCAGTGATATTCCTGATAATGAGTTACAATAATCGAGTTTAGATAAAATTAAGCTAGTTACTAGTAAAGCAGTATACTTGGTATTGATCAGATGACGTATTTTACTAATTTTTCTTATTTCTAAATACATGCAGCTGATAGATGATTTACCTCAGCCGACATTGACATCCTAGAATCAAAATAGATGCCAAGATTCTTAACTTTTCTTGAAAATAAAATTTTTGCATCACCAATTTTAATGTGATCATGGTCAACCTCTTTAACAGACTTTGCATTGCCTGCCAGAACGACTTCTGTTTTATTATCATTTAACATCAATTTATTTTTGTTCATCCAGTTTTTCACTAAGGCAATACAATTTTCTGCACGATGGACAAGTTCATCCAAGTTGGTAAACAATGTTGAACCATAAATTTGGGTATCATCAGCATAGAAATGGTATTTTAAGTCATATTTAACTATTTCCTTGACAAGTGGTTGAGTATAAATGGTGAACAAAATTGGACCGAGGACTGAGCCCTGGGAGACCCCATACTTAAGAGCATGATCTGATGACTTAAGCAAGCCCTTTAATAAAAACAGATTGGTAACGATTTGACAGGTAAGAAGAAAACCAGCTAAGGGCAGTCCCAGATAATCCAAAAGACACTTCCAATCGCTTCAATAAAATGTGATGGTCGATTGTATCAAAAGCTGCTGATAGATCTAAAAGGCTCAGCAAAACAACTTTTCCTGAATCACAATCAGTAAGCATGTTATTCATGACTTAAAGAAGTGCTGTTTCTGTGCTGTGGTTAGCTCGATAGGCAGATTGGAATGGCTCTAACAGATTGTTTTCTTGTCAGTGATGACGAAGCTGCTCGAGGACAATTTTTCAAGGATTTTAGACAAAAAAGGTAGATTTGAAACAGGTCTATAGTTCTTTAAGACATTCTGATCTAAGTTTTGCTTCTTTAGCAAAGGTTTTACAAGAGCGATTTTAAACGAATCTGGTTCAAGTGAGTGTGTTGTGATATATGTGGGGAAGAGTAAAATGAAGCATTCATGTACCTTTGTGTGAGGAAGGTGTTCATATTAGTTTGTGATATGTGTGGAAGAGTAAAATGAAACATTCATGTACCTAGATCTAGATCTATGTGTGAGTAAGATGTATGTGAGTCTGTTCTGGTGGTTGTTCTTTTTAGTATGTCAATAAACATTAGTTCTGTCTTAGGCCCACTGTACAAAAGGAGTTCGTCTTTGCTTCTTTCCTCTTTTCAAGCGCCTAGTTGTGCATACACTCGTACATTCTTCCTTTCACCTGCTCTTTCACTCACACTGTCTCTCCATCCACAGCTCAGCTCGTCATACGTTCAAAAGTTGCCGACTGATCATATTTAGTTATTGTGTGTATAAGTTTGTGTGTGTACATGTGCATGATGGTGGTGGGTGTGTGGTGGGTGTGTGGTGGGTGTTACTGAAGGTTGTCTGTAGGCGGGCTTGCCATGTGGTGTTCCTTCCCAATCCCAGACCAGAGGCAGAATGAAAGTTGGCGCCGAACTCTCGCAATAAATAAGCAAAAAATCAGGAGACCGGAAGCCGGATACCGTTCGGAGAAATAGTCACTTCGATTTTTTTATTCGGGCTGGAGTCCGAATATGAAAAAAATGTTATTCGGACTCGAATTCGGACTCGAGTCCGAATAATGACGACCTTAGATTTATGTGAGTGTAAGGGGTTGTGAACTAAGTGAAGCGGGTAGGCCTATTGCAAGTGATCGGGACATGAACAATAAATTTTAAGATTTCATGGCCTTGTATCGCAGTGACAAATTATATTTCCCACATGATCTAGATCTGCATTATTATATTATTGGCTTTCTTGTTGTCAAATTGATATTTATTTGATAGTGGGAAACTGAATTGTTTACTTGCATAGATTTCTTGGTGTATCATTATGTTGTGTCCATAAAATCTGATGGTATTTCAACTATTTTGTTTGTTTTAGATACTATTGAAAGACACGCAACACTTTTAGAGTGAGCACCAATAAAATCAAACTTGTGGTCTGTATTGTTATGAGTTTGTAACAGTTTGGCTGAAAAGATGGGAGGACTTCTGTAAGAAGCGACCGCTATGAGACAGAGTAGAATAGAGGGGTAGGGTTAGGTATTGTGTTTGTTGGGGTGGACGCTCATTACGAAAGTCCTTCCGTAAAGATTGAAATCATGAATTTCTTTATGTTTAACCTTCAACAGCTTGTCTGCTCCCAATATGTGAGGGCCCTTAGCACTGCCACAATTTCTATTGATGATGTGAGGGACAAAGTTTTGAATATCTGCAAGGCTTATGATAAGATCAATGCTGAAAAGGTATTTTAACTGTTTTTGTTTTTCTTTGACTTGTGGTTCGAGGAAGAAGGAATGTTCAAACAAAAATTATTTTGGAAAAGAGAACTAGTTCTCAAATCTTTTTTTCTGACTGAATATTTCTTTTGAGAGTATGTTTTTGGTCCTTTCGAAATAAAGATTGTTCCTTCTTCTGGCTGATCAGGGTCATCATGATAACTTAGCTTATGGTTTGTTCTGATAGTTTATGTGTGTCCATTCCTTGTGCTCTCATTGCAGCTTGTGTCCTCTCAGCCCAGGAGGTGGTATGGAGGCAAACAGCCCCTTACCTTAGACACTATACAGAAGCGGGTTGATCTGGTTTTGAAATTGTATGACAAAATTAACCCCGAAAAGGTATATCTCCCAAGAATCTTTTTTTTTTGTTGGAAATATGCTTCAGAATCTCAAAAATAAATAATTATAGTTCTTTTTTAAAGTGTACATATCTATAGAGATTTTGTGTGAAGGAACTAGCTGTTTTAAAACTATTATTATTACAGTTTTGTTTTTATAGGTCTGCTTTGCTGATTATAAGATTTAATTCTTCAGGGAAAGAGTGGGTCAAAGGGATTATTAAGAGAAGATCATGTAAACTCCCATGTGTGAAGCCAAAAGATGTTACAGTCTGATGGTCATTTTTTTTTTTTACATAGAAAGTACATATTGTATTGGGTGATTGTGTACGGGAATTTTTAGAGGCTGCTTTTTGTTATTAACATCCCATTTATTGAAGATAAGGCTGATTGAGACTTTTTCTTGTTGGTTTGATGATGTCTTGGAATGAAAATCTTTTTTTTTTTTAATTTAATAATTTCAATATGCTTATTTGTGTGTGTGTGGGAGAGAGAGACCTTTTGGAGCTTTGGGGACACTAATTAATAATTTTGATTCTTCCTTTCAAAGTGCATATATCAGTTAAAAGCTGTCAGTCATTTGTACGCATACTGCATGGGGGAGGGGGGGGGGGGGGCGATATGAGTCAAGGCTGCCTGTCAGTGGTCTTCTCCTTTTTTGTTTATTTCCAGTGACTGTTAGTTATTTCTGTTCTGTTGCTGGCAATATATAGCTCTTATTATTCCAACATGTCATGAACTGCAAATGAACCTTGCAACAGTTAAATTAGTGCAAGCATATTTCAGTATCTATATTCACATTGCAAGCAAATTTTGGTCTCTTATAGGTTTTGGAATTCAAGTTATAAACGCATACTTTCACGATGAATGTGTTCTGAACTGCTAATGTGTAGGACTTTGAGCAAACGTGTTTGTATATTTTATAATTTAAAAAGATCTAAAGACAACAACTTCTTTTGAATGACACCATGTGCTAATGGTTGCCCTGTTCCCCCCCCATGTCCAGCTGACGCCCGACTCCCACTTCATGAACGACCTGGGCCTGGACAGTTTAGACCAAGTGGAAATCATCATGGCCATTGAAGATGAGTTTGGTAAGTAGGATGGCGTGTTAACATTAGTTTTCTTACTTTAAAAAAAAAAAAGTCCATGGTCTATTAGTTTTCTATTTTTTTCTTCTCGAATTGTAAGGATAAACTTTTGCCTTTTACATATTTTGAAGGCTTTGCTGTACATATTTTTTATTTGATCTGTTCAGTTTCTTTCCCCAACTAAGGAGTTCACTCAGCATCACTAACTGACGAGTGGGGTGACCTTTCCACATGCCTCTGATTTTATGTTGGAAAGCTGATATCCCTGAACTGTGTACAAGTGTGCCCCATTAAAATCGAATGCTTCCTGGGGGTGGGGGGGGGGGGGATTGCTCAGCTTGGTGCTATGGAGGCAGCAGCCTGAAAAAGCTTAGACAGAATAGAGGTCTAGAGCATTATATATTTAGCGGTTCTTTTGGCATTTCTGGTTTTTTTAATATTGGGGAAACATGACTTTCATTTTTCTTTTTATGATAAAATAAGTAGAATGGTGTGGTGGGGGTAGGTAGGTATGTTGGGAAGGTGCAAACGTATCATTGAGGGCTTCTCTTACAACAGTGTTTGGTGTGAACTGCTAGCTGGCCAACAGCTGTGCTGGAGTACTCGTCGTTTTAGTTTTATGAGATTAATTAACATGTCATTTACATTCATTTGATATATGGAAGGTAAAAAAAAAGTGTGATCTGTATCATCTTTGTGGACATAAATCTTTTAAAGTACTTTAGTCACTGCATGGCCACACTGCAGGGGGATCGTGGGTGCTCTGTTGTGCTATGGCCCTCAGATGTTACTATTATAATCTGAACCTGTTGCTGGTCAAATCTGTTTGTTGCCATGGTGACTTGCGTGTTGACCACTGTTCAAAGCAGCTCTGCCTTGCTCCAGGGCTGCAAGGACTTTTCAGTGACCCACGCTCAGAACTTTTTAATTATAACCCTATCCGTACGTCGTGTTTTACTATCATATCAACAATGCGATGTGGGGAACTCTGTGCCACCACTTTCCAAAGGGGAAATTTACTCGTTAATCCGATCCGTACGCTTTGCATAGCAGTCTGTCAAAATGATTTTTTGAGAAATGCTGAAAGTTTGAAAGAGATCTTCGCACTAGAAGTATTCTAAAATGTAAAGAATACAACCCTGGGAGTACAAAATGACCCCATGGCGTACGGATAGGGTTAAGGACCTCCGAGCAAGTGTTGAGTTCCTGCGTGCAGTTGGCATTGCTGGCTGCTTTTGACGCCACAGCGCCAGAAGAGAGAGAGAGAGAGAGAGGTGGCTCCCGAGAAATGAGGCTTCCTCCAAAGATAAAAAGAAAGAATGGATGAAATGGCCATGATGATGAAGCGACAATGTTTTGGCAGACTTTGCTTTAGATTGTTGTGCTCACTCGAACTTTTTTCTTCCAGGTGGTTTTCAGGTGCTCTGGTGTGGTTTGCTCCCTCTTTACTTTCGAACATCTATCGTTCTGATCTCTCCTTCTTTTTTGTGTTTGTTACTCTCTTGTAATGCCTCTAATCTTCAGCTCTTATATTTTACCTTATTTTGTTGTAAATGCCATAAAACTCATACTCAAAAACTAAACTTAACTTTTTCGTTCAATCTCCAGGATTTGAAATCCCCGATGCAGACTCAGAGCGCTTGATGAGGCCTCGGGACATTGTTCAGTACATCGCGGACAAAGAAGATATTTTTGACTGATTGGGTTTCTTTGTAGGGATAAAAAAGTTGTTTTATGGTAAGTCGTATGTATGTTAACTTTTAGTTAACCATTATACAGAGACATGAAAGGTACATTGGGTTTTTTTTTAGCACTGCTGGTGAAATGAGACTCTTTTGACCAAATTCCATATAACGTGAAGTTTTTAACTGTTAATCTGTCCGGAACTAGTGAAGTTTCTTCATGTTTTATTTCTCTTGGTGAAAGTGTTCTAAAGATGATTTCCTGTACTGAAAAAAGAATCTTGTGTTCCATTTATGAATCCCAGTCAGGTGTCCCTGTCCGTGTCACTGGTATCTCTGTGGTGTTGGGTTGTTCCTAACGCTGGTATAGTCTGGGGAAATAATTCATGTTTTGATGTCTGTGATTATCTGTATATAATATATATACTGTGGTTGAAATTGTATGTCATTGAATGTGTTTGAGAGAGTGGATTTGAAAACCATGTCCAGCATTCCTGTTTCTGTTATCCCCTTTTTTTGTTCTGCAGTGCCGTTCGTTGCATGTTTGTAACTTTGCAAAGAATGTTTGACTTTCTATTTATTTATTATCTTTAAGCTCATTTTAAGAACTTTTTTTCTCGAACTGGCTGTTAGTGTTAGTTCTGAACTTGGTTTTGCTGTTCTTCCTTGAAAGGCCTGTTGTTGCTGAATTTTAATAATGTACAGATTGTTAGCTTTCATATTTGCGGCCTGGTTATTTATGTTGTCTTATGATGGGTTTTCTTTCTTTTTTTTTCTTTCCCCCAGATGCTGAGCTGTACATTGAGAGTGAGTGTGTTGACTGCCTCTGACTGACTGACTGCCAGGACGGTGCGTCCGTTGACCGTGTACAATTCTTCTATCCAACGTCGCTGTTTTCATGTTGCTTGAGCTTCTACTACAGTCTACGACCTGAACAGTAATCGTCGCATGTCTGTTTTTTGTGCAGTGATTAAACAGACGCCTGAAATCTATTCTCTCTTTTTTAAATCTTTGAAGGAACTTTCATTTTTTGGAGTGGGCTGCGTTGCTTTGAACTTCTATCGCTTTTCCACATTTGTGGAGAAAAAGGGCGATGTAACTAAAGACTGCAGTGGAAAAATTAACAAAAGTCTTAGTTATTCAGGTTTATTTTTATATAAAGAAGTCAAATTTTAAAGTTCTCAATAAGCTGGACGAAGACCATTTCAACTCAGAGCTGAGCTTGTTGTTCGGTTTGATGTAAAAAAAAAAAAAAGAAAGCATTAGAAATAAAACGCATGCTAAATGCAATAATTCAATATTATTTGGAATTTGTGACTTTGATTTTTTCCCCCCTTTGTGTTTTCGACTGGGGTGAGGAGCAATACTGCGCACATTTGAAATTTTGTTTTTGTTTTTGTTTTTTTGTGATAACGTCCAGTTTCATTATTGTACAACCATGGACATAATTAAAAGAATTTCACCTAGCGGTAGTCGATCTCAGTTATGCCCAAATCGCCTCTATTGTGATGTCAGCGGCGGGGAGTAGCTGGACTGTACCGTGCGAGTGTTTTTGCTCAGATTTTGAACATTGGAGACATGAAGTTTGGAACTTGTATGTAGTTGGTAGACATATTTGGATCAGTTTGGACTGTTTACTACATCAATGATTAAAGTTCATTTGATGGAGAGAATATTGCTTTTTGTTTGGTTTTTCCTTTTTGTGTCTTGTGTTCTTTTGTCTTGGTGCTGTGGGCATCAGTTCAGAAAAATGAGGCCAGTAGTCTTTTGCTTTAACTATTTACATCATGGACATGTAGACTTGTGCAAGGGGGCTCTCGTGGCTTAGAGGTTAAGGTGTTGGCCTCTCATTCAAAGGTCCCGGGTTCGAATCTGCGTTGCGACAGAAAAATTTTCTTCTCTAAAATTGTCTCCTTTCGCCTCCTTTCCTACTCTCCAGCAATGTTGTGTTGTTTGCTTTCATTTCCACTTTCTGCCCCCACCCCCTCACCTCCTTTGCCCCCTCCTCTGGGCTCCTGACTCTTTCTACAGCCTTTATACTGCTACTCCTTGGCTCCTCCTTACTGCTGTCTTTCTGCCACACCCCTGATCTTCTGGTAGGAAAGATCTACACCTAGCCTTCTCGGACAAGGGAGAAAAATCTCGGAGGGCCCGTGTGCAAAGTTGCGCACGTTAAAGATCCCTTGGTGGTCTAAAATAGATATAGAGTAGGCTTCGTCCGCCACCCGCGCAAAATTCAAAATTTCCTACCAACTGAAAATATTAGGTGTGTCCCGTGCGCTCATATGACCTTATGCAGTTGCGAGTGCCGTAAAACACTTTACAAAAACAAAAACAAAAGACTTGTGCAAATTTGGCATATCAGACACATGTGTAGCAGAGATGCCAATCAGTAAAAAAATTTCAGAGGTTGGCATCTCTGATGTAGACTATACTTGGCATTAGGTTTCTTATGGGCTTGATCCATACATCCGATATTTTTTTGACATTAAATTTGTTTAAATGTAGGTGTTTTTTCACCACCATCGACATAATTTAGATCCTTTAGGAGGTGGGCTTTGGCCCTGCCTATCAGGCCACCCTCTCTCTCTCTCTTGCCCTTTTTAACTCCCAGTGGAGCACAGGCCATCAACAACATTACTCCAGCGAAGCCTGTCCTGAGCATCCTTTTTTATCTGTTTCCATGATGTCCCCGCTTTTTCAATTTCCGCTGATACCGCTCGCCTCCATGTCATCTTAGGCCTTCCCTTCTTACGCTTTCAGGCCACCCTAGTAGTAGGAAGATGGAAATTCTTGATAAATCTGATATAATGTCAAATCTTCCCCACTCAAGAATTGAACTTTGGCCTCCACGTGTGACAGCGAAGCACCTAGCTGCTACACTACACTACACAACAGACACCGGTGCACCTGGTATTGATTTATTTATAGTGGGTGGTTGGTGGGTGCTCTGGTGTGGTTTGCTTCTTCTTTCCTATCAAATATCTGTTGTCCTTATCTCTTCTTCTTTTTTGTGTTTGTTATTCTCTTGTAACTCAGCCAATCTTTAGTACTTCTATGACCTTATTGTGTTGCAAGTAGGCCCCTACCGTAAAACACCTACTAAAAAAAACCCCCAAAAGACCTGTGCTGCAAATTCCCCCTATCAGACCTGTGTATACTTCGCATTAGGTCTCCTGTGGGCTTGATCTGTACATCTGATATTTAAAAATAAATCTGATTAAATATTTCTTTTCAATGAAGGTGTTTTTACGCAACCACCGACATAATTTAGATCATTTAG